TCTGGAGACCTTCCGGGGCCCGGGCCCCCACCATCTCCAGCAGCATCCAGAGCTGGAAGGGTGCTGAACTGGAAACCGGGGGCTCTTCTCGGTCAACACTCGAGCCTTTTCTAAGCGCTCCGGTTTTTATGGGACTTGACAAGCTGACTCTGATACTCGTGTGAAAAAGGAAGTGTTCTAGAAAAGCTCTGAAGGCTTTTGAAAATAACAGCAATGGCCGCCCCCAGGGACAGAGCCCAGGGAGGAAGAACAAGAAACACAAGAAGAGGAACATTTGATGGAAGAAAAGAAAAAGAAAAAGCAGGAAGAAAAGAAAAAGAAGGAAGGTGCTCAGAAAAAGGCTGCTGATCAAAAAACCAAAGTCACCGGAAACCCAACTCCTCAAGTCAGGAGTTGGAGGCCGAACGCGGAGCCAGAGCAGAGTCTGTGAAGCGCCTGGGCTCCACCAAGAACGCCCTGCTGGTCCCTCTTCGCCACCGCCGCCACCAGAGGAGTGGCCATCTATGATCTTTCCCCGTGGCGAAAGTGCGGAGCTGCTCCGGCTCGGCCCGCGGGGGAGCCCCAGGAGCCGCAGGGAAGTTCCATGGTCGTCTGTGAAACCCTGCCACAATGAATAAACATCAAAGAAAAGACAACAGAAGTATGAAAAGTCAAGAAAGTACACCACCCAAAGATAATAAATCTCAAGCTCTAGACCTTATAGAACAAGAAGCCCTTGAAATGACTGACAAGGAATTTCGAGTGATAATTCTATGGAAACTGAATGAGATACAAGAAAACTCTGCTAGACATCATGAGGAAACGAGGAAAAGTATACAGGACCTGAAAGAGGAAATGTACAAGGAAATCAATGCCCTGAAAAAAAATGTAGCAGAACTTGCCGAACTGAAGAAGTTATTCAGCGAAATAAAAAACACAATGGAGAGTTTAATCAGCAGGCTTGTCGAAGTTGAAAAGAGAACCTCTGAACTTGAAGATGGGCTGTTCAAAATAACACAAGCAGACAAAAAAAAAAGAAAAAAGAAAAAAAAGAAAAAGAAAAAGAAAAAAGAATCAAAGGCATTGAAGAAAATCTGAGATATTCAGATTCATATTCATATTCACCAAAATAGTGGCAGAAAACTTCCCAGATATAGGAAAAATCTCCAAACGTATTCAACGCAAAAAGGTCCTCTCCAAGACATGTTATAGTCAAATTGGNACACAACCACCCTTACAAGAAATTCTCAAGGGAGTACTGGGTTAGGTTCCTGAAAAATAACTACCACTCCCATAAAAACCCAAGAAAAATCTAAACCCTCTAGTATAATAAAAATGGCATACATGAACAGAATACAAACAAACAAAAAGGCTATCTACATCCTAAGGAACCAACAAACACAGAAAACAAACAGTAAATCAGAAGACAAGGAACAAAAGACACCTAAGACAACCAAACAACAATCAACAAAATGCTAGGAATAAATCAAAACTTTTCAATAACAACTCTTAATGTAAAAGGCTTAAATTCCCCAATCAAAAGACACAGAATGGCTGACTGGATTACAAAGGAGGACCCAACTATATGCTGCCTTCAAGAAATACACCTCACCCATAAAGACTCACATAGACTAAGAGTGAAAGGAGGGAAAACGATTTACCATGCAAACAGAAAAGAAAAACGAGCTGGAGTAGCTATTCTTATATCTGATAAAGTAGACTTTAAACTAAAAACCATAAAAAGAGACAATGAGGGACA